AAATATAAAGATGAAGATGGAGAATTATTTAAAGGTTTGCATTTCTTTTCTTTTTCTCTTTTATTGCTTATTAGTTTAGATTTATTTCTATGCTTGTAGTTAGATTTTATTTTCTTGTTAAATAGCCAAGAGGCTAGAACCCTCTTGCCTTAGATTTATTTCATGCTCATAGATTAGATTTATTTTCATACTTATAGAGTAGATTTATTTTCTTTTTACAATTTATTTTATAGTTTAGATTTTACAATTTATTTTGTAGTTAGATTTTAATTTCTTGTACTATTCACCTTGAGGCTAGAACCCTCTTGGGTTTAGTTTTTCTTTTTGTTTATTTTTATTTTGTTTGATTCGCCTTTAGGCTAGAACCCTCTAGGAAATCGCCCTTTTCTAAGAAGTGGGTTCAATTTTAGATTACCCATATCTATAATTGAATCCACCATCTTTAATTTCTTGCATTTTCTTTTATTCTAGAATTTTGTTCTTCATTCTTGATTTTTTATTTGTTTCTTGATTTTATTCATTTTTCCTTCTCACCTTATTGATCATACTCATTCTCTTTTACATCCACTCTCACTTACACTTTGTACCTATTTACACACCACTTTTACTCTTTAAATCTCTTCACAATCACATTTACTCATCACTCCTATTTGTCACGCACATAAAATAAGAACCAATTTTATATTTTCTCCTACAAAACACTTTCCTCGTGGGATCGATATCTTAAATACTATAACTTGACACGGTTGTGCACTTGCAACCTTTTTGGTACATGTTTATGCCGCATCAGGCTCCCGAATTCAACATCCACTCTGTGGAGTCGGCATAACAAACCGACGGTAGTGCAGGGCATGAATAGCCCAAAGAATCTGAATCTGAATGTTTGCCAACATCTTTTGTAACATTCACTTCTGAAGCTTGTACAAGTTTCCCCTTATTCTTCCTGGCTTTGTCCTTCAACTTTGGTCAATCTTCCAATATCTCTCTTTATTATAAAAACAACATTGATTTCTACCAACACTCTTATAGGCACCTCTATTCTTCAATTTTGAGCGGTTGACTTGGCGACGGTTTGGACTACGACCTCGAACTGCTAATGCATCTCCCGATACCTTCTCGGAGGGTTCACCACCACTCTTACTCAACTCATAATTCACTAAATATGAGGTCACCTCCTTGTAGCAAACAGTAGCTCTTCCATTGATCATAGTAAGAACAAACGTACCATAATTATCCTCGGGCAACGAACACAAAAGTAGCATCGCATTGTCTTCATCCTCAACCGTGATGTCTACATTGGTCATATCTGAAAGTAGCTTTGTGAAATTGTTTACATGCTCCCTAATGGAAACTCCCTTCTTCATCTTGAACTGGTAAAACCTCTTCTTCAAGTAAAACCGATTCTCAATGCTCTTCGTAAGATACTTCTTATTGAGTATTTCCCACATTCTCTTCGTCGACGTCTCGTTCATCATGTTATAAATAAGATCCGGCGTAAAGTATGACCGAATAACTCCACAAGCCATACTATTCATTTTCTTCCAAACCTTATCCTACATATCAGCGGGTTTCTCTTGTAACTCAAGAGTCTCCTCCAAATTCTGTGTATCCAACGTGTCCATCACCTGACACCTCCACAAACTAAAATTAATCTTACCGTCGAACTTCAGAACATCAATCTTCGTGTTATTGATGCTCAGACTCTGTATCGCCTTCGTAAGAGACTAACCTGATGTGCTTGCTTCTCTTATATTATCGATCTAACTCTTTAAATAGGAATTCTTTATCGAATCCTTCGAACAAGCCTCAAGCCAAACCTGAAGCTCTGATATCACTTGTTGTGCGCGGCGGAAGCTCGAAACCACATGAACAAGAATGAGATAAATCACAACCAATAAGCCAAACACAATACCATAACAAGACAAATGAATTTTATGTAATTCAGCAAGTTACCTACATCAACGGGGTAAGAAGGGGAAAGTTCTTACTATTAGAAATCAAGAGAATACAAATAGGGATAAATCTCACCAAATAAACCCTAAAACAAAGCCTCTAGATCTCCCACAACTCTTCTATAATTGGATGTAATAATCCCCTCTCAAAGACTGCTCAAAACATCCTTTCTTAACCTTAATTAATTAGGATTATGATTATATATCAACTCAGAATAAAACGGGTTAGAAAACCAAACTTAACTGCAGAACCGAATCACCACACGTGGTCGACCGGATCCAACGACTAAGACTAAAAACCCTTACAGGGTTTGGCCGGTCGACTACAGAACCCATCCGAGATCAACTATCTGAGATCAACTATCCTATAAATATGTTGATATCTAGGCTTTCATTGTGCGGGGAACAAAAACGCAGAGAAAAATTTATGTTTTTGCGGCTGTTTTTGAGAGAGATAAATAGAGGGTTAGTCGGCCTCTTTTTAGGAGTTTTTAGGAGGCTTAGATCTGAGATCTTGAGGAGAGAATAAGAGAGATTTACAAAAGAGAGGTCAATTTCTTTTGGGTAAAAATCAGATCTCTTTTTTTAGACGAGCTTGTGGATTGTACAAGTCGTCGGTGTTCTCCTCATAGTAGAATCTCCCCTCACCCCTCCCGTGGCATAGGCAATTTTTCTGAACCACGTAAATCTCATGTCTTTATTGTTTTATGGGTGTTGGCTATTGTTTGTAGTTTTCCTCGACATTTCAGTCCTAGAACTGATGAGAGAAAGAGTGCATATTTTACTTTGTTGAAATATTTTACTTTCTATTCTAGTTTCCTTTGAGAAACAATAATTTCACTATCTATTCTAGTTTCCTTTGAGAAACAAGAATATAGATGTTGACTTGTGTTTTTATGATAACAAAAGTTAGGACTTTCTCTCAGGTGATATCGCTTTCGCGGCGGTGGGCATGACTCTGCGCCCAACAATTGGTATAAGAGATTTTATTCAGATTGGAGGTGGTAGAATTTCTTATCTGAGGTGGTGCATGATTTTGTGTAGTGAACATAAGGTGTTTGAATTCCCGAGAGAGGCAGTTTATTAATACAAGCGGATAATGGCGTCTACCAGTAAAATGGTTAAAGTGGGAAAGTACGAGATTAAAAAATTCAATAGGAAGAATAATTTTTCTTATTGGAGGATGCAGATGAAGAACTTATTGATTTCGCAGAAATTGCACAAAGCTTTGACGGGAAAAGAGAAGAAGCACGATGATATGTCTGATGAGGATTAGGAGGAGTTGGATCTTAAAGTACGGGCGTCGATTATCCTTTGCCTTGAAAGAGATATAGCTTTCTTGGTAGATGGAAAGGAAACGGCTGTAGGCGTGTGGTAGAAGTTAGAAAGCATCTTTATGACGAAGAGTCTAACGAACCAGATCTATTTAAAATGTAAATTGTATACTTGCAAGATGGAGGATGGATCATCAATTCGGGAATACATCAACAAGTTTGATAGGATAATATCATATTTGAAGGACATCGATGTGATTGTAGAAGACGAGGATCAGGCGCTTCTACTACTTCTATCTCTGTAAAAGTCTTATGAGAACCTGGTGCAAAGACTGATGCTTATGGGAGACAATTTGACGATGGATGAGACTAGAACAACACTTGTAGCAGATAATCTTCGGAAGATTACAACCAATAACATGACTACTGGTGGTAACAAAGAACAAACGTAAGGATTGTTTGCTAGAGGAAGGAGTAATGAGCGAGGAAAAAAGTAAGGGAGGAAAGTCTAGATCTAAATCGAGACATCTTGCGGGAAGAGCATGCTTCAAATACGGTGAAGTTGGGCATTTTAAGGTCGACTGTCCAAACAAGAGAGTAGGTGGGAAGAACAACAACAACAAGACTGAGAGGAGAGAAGGTAAGGAAGAAGTGAGCTATGCTTCAGAGGAAGGGAGCGATAAAGAATGCTATGTTGTTACGGGTTGCGAAGATATCTCCGGTAAGTAGATACTTGATTCATGTTACTCTTACCACATGTGTCCAAATAGGAAGTGGTTTACTACCTATAGAAGCATTGATGGTGAAACTGTATTGATGGGGAATAACCATGCTTGTAAAATGATGGGGCTCGGTGATATATAAATCAAGATGTATGATGGAGTGGTTAGAACCCTAACGGACGTGCGGCACGTTCCCGACTTGTGGAAGAATCTTGTCTCAGTGGGTGCATTGGACTCCGGTGGTTATAGGATTGCTACAGAGAACAGAGTAAAGAAGATTGTTTGAGGTTCTCTAACAGTGATGCAGGGTGTTCGTCACGGTAATTTATATACCCTCTCGGGTACGACGGTGATAGGAAATGTAATGGTTAGAACCAAAGGAAATAGTGGAGACCCATGTGAGCACATACGGTTATGGCATAGGCAGCTTGGGCACATGTCAGAGAAGGGTCTGGATCTGCTTGGTAAAGAGGGTTTGCTGAAAAATCTAAAGAAACCTTGTATGGATTTTTGTGATGATTGTGTGTATGAAAAGGTGCACAGAGTCCAGTTCTTAAAAAGCAATCACAAGAGTAGAGGTATACTAGATTATGTGCACACGGATGTTTGGGGTTCAGCTCAGACAACTTCCAAGGGTGGTTCCAGGTATTTTGTCTCGTTCATAGATGATCATTCGAGATATGCTTGGATTTATTTTCTTAACCATAAGAATGAGGTATTGGAGACATTCAAGAAGTGGAAAGTAATGATTGAGAACATGACTTGTAAGAAATTGAAGACACTTACAGAGTATACAGATGGTGCTTTCAAGGAGTTTTGTGATTAAGAGGGCATTGTTCGACACTAGACAGTCAGATCAACACCATAGCAGAACGGGGTTGCGGAGAGACTGAACCGAACATTGCAAGATAAGGCAATGAGTATGCGATCTTATGCTAGATTGGGCAATGAATAATGGGCAGAAGCAGTGGCTACAATATGTTACATTGTGAATCGTTCTCCACATTCTACACTAGATGGTGATACACCCTATAGGGTGTGGTCAGGGGAACATGCAGATTATGAGAGGCTCAGAATTTTCAGATGTACTACCTACTATCATGTTAATGAGGGCCAAGAAGGTGATATTCTTAGGGTATGCAAAGGACGTAAAAGGCTACCGCCTTTGGTGTATAGAAGATTCGAAGTTCGTGATTAGCATGGACGTTACCTTTAATGAGAAATCCATGATTGCTAAGGCGCCCAAGGATAATGGTGTTGGGACTGTTGGGACTACCAAGTCCCAGGTTATTAAGATAGAACCTAAGGACCAACCAGGTTCTAGTCATGTTCAAGTGGGAAATCTGGTAGATGATGAGCTTGAGCAGGAGGAGGTTCAGCAAGAAAATACACAAGCATTATAACAGCAGCAACTCGAGGATAGTTTAGCTTCCACTAGACCAAGGCGAGCATACAAGCAAGTACTGAAGATGGGGGCTGATCAACCCTTGAAGAACTATGGGCAGGTTAATTTGGTGGAATACGCACTCTCGGTGGAGGAAGATGAGCCGGTCTCCTTTAAGAAAGCTATTCGGGATAAAGATAGTGAGAGTTGGTTGGCTGCGATAGAAGAGGAGATGAAATCTCTTCAGAAGAACCAAACATGGGAGGTGGTCCCATTACCCGTAGGAAGAAAAGCTATTGGTTGTAAGTAAGTGTATAAAAGAAAGGAAGATCCTTCAGAGCTCGGTGGTACAAGGTACAAGGTGAGACTAGTAGCTAAAGGATTTGCAAAAAGAGAGGGTGTGGATTACAATAAGATATTTTCTCCGATAGTAAAACACACTTCTATTCGGGTGCTATTGAGTATTGTTACTCATGGTGATCTTGAGCTGGAACAACTCGATGTTAAAATGACTTTCTTGCACGGAGACTTGGAGGAAGAGATCAACATATGCATCAACCTGAGGGTTATAAGATTAAGGATAAGGAGCATCATGTATATCGCTTGAGGAAGTCACTCTATGGACTGAAGTAATCTCCTCGGCAGTGGTACAAGCGATTTGACTCATTCATACTGAAGCATGGGTTTTCCTGAAACAATTATGATTGCTGTGCTTACATTCGGAAGCTTCGTGGAGATGATTATATCTATCTTCTTTTGTATGTGGATGACATGCTTATTGCTTCTAAGAGTAGGGTGAAGATAGATAGACTAAAATCTTAACTTGGTAAAGAGTTTGAGGTGAAGGATATGGCGCTGCAAGGAAAATACTAGGTTTGGAGATTAGGAGAGAGCGGACGAATAAACGATTGTTCTTGAGTCAGAAGGGCTACATAGAACGGGTGATCGCAAGGTTCATGATGCAAAATATAAAGTCGGTGGTGACTCCATTGGCTCCACATGTTAGGTTTTCAGGTAAACAATCTCCCACTACAGCGGAAGATAAGGCACACATAGAGCGTGTTCCTTATGCTAGTGCAGTTGGGAGTTTGATGTACGTCATGGTGTGTACACGCCCAGATATTTCACAGGCGATTAGTGTGGTCAGCAGGTTCATGGCGAATCCGGAAAAGGCGCACTGAGAAGCGGTGAAATGGGTCCTGAGGTACTTAAAGGGTACTGCGGATACTAGTCTGTGTTTTGGTGGAGATACGTGTCAAATTGATGGATTTGTTGACTCTGGTTATCCAGGCGATCTAGATAGACGGCGATCTACTACTGGTTATGTATTCAGGATACATGAAGCTCCAGTTAGTTGGTGATCGATGTTGCAGGCTACAGTGACACTTTCTACTACAGAGACCGAGTACATGGCCATGACGGAGGGAGTGAAGGGAGCATTATGGTTGTGGGGTCTTCTAGATGATTTGGTGATTGAGCAGGAGAACGTGAACTTATGGTGTGACAGTCAAAGTACGATTCACTTGGTGAAGAATCAAGTTCATCATGCTCGTACCAAGCATATCGATGTCAGATATCATTTTGTGCAGGACGTCATAGGAATATAATATTTCTCTCATGAAGGTGTACACGAATGAGAATCCAACAGACATGTTGACCAAGATAGTTACAGGTAGCAAGTTTAAGCATTGCTTGGACTTGCTTCATATCAGCCCATGTTGATTTGCCCAAGAGGGCATGGCCCTTCGGGGCGGTGATGGGGTGAGGTGGAGACTATGATGGAGAACAATAGTAGAACTACGGTTAGTTTGATCCTGGTGGAGGGTATGTAGGTAGCCGCGGTAAAGTGGCGCAGCTGGTTTGGCCTGGTTTGACCAATGGAGATCTCTCTGGTGATGTTTGTGATGTTCTTCTGGTGTTCGTCCATAATTTAAGGTTTATCAAATGATGTACGAGGTGAAGAATTGTGAGTGGGGGCCACCCACGTGCCTTAGCCTTTTCGTGTGAGCTCCTTTTCCGCGTGAGATGAAAAGCCTTAGCCATTCACGCAAAAATCAAAACAGCAGCAGAGGCCGGAGCGTGGGGGCCCACCCGAGATCAACTATCCTATAAATATATGTTGATCTCTAGGGTTTCATTGTGCGGGGAACGAAAACGCCGAGAAAAATTGTGTTTTTGTAGCTGTTTTTCGGAGAGATAAATAGAGGGTTAGTCGGCCTCTTTTCAGGAGTTTTTTAGGAGGCTTAGATCTGATATCTTGAGGAGAGAATAAGAGAGATTTACAAAAGAGAGGTCAATTTATTTTGGGTAAAAATCAGATCTCTTTTCTTTTAGACGAGCTTGTGGATTGTACAAGTCGTCGGTGTTCTCCTCATAGTGGAATCTCCCCTCACCCCTCCCGTGGACATAGGCAATTTTGCCGAACCACGTAAATATCATGTCTTTATTGTTTTCTAGGTGTTGGCTATTGCTTGTAGTTTCCCTCGACATTTCAGTCCTAGAATTGATGAGAGGAAGAGTGCATATTTTACTTTGTTAAAATATTTTACTTTATATTCTAGTTTTCTTTGAGAAACAAGAATTTCACTATCTATTCTAGTTTCCTTTGAGAAACAAGAATATAGAGGTTGACTTGTGTTTTTGTGATAACAAAAGTCAGGACTTTCTATCAGGTGATATCGCTTCCGCGGCGGTGGGTGTGACTCTGCGCCTAACAGAGTTTGTTGTGTATTTTGCTAGGATGAGCAATGGGGGAGCCTTTAGAGGTTTTATTGGATAGAGGGAAACCTTAGGAGTCTTTTAAGGGCCTGTTCGTTTGCCTAAAAAAAAGAGGGAAATCAAAGAAATGGAAAACTATTAAAATGAAGAATTGTTTTTGGAGTGTTTGGTTGGCTAAAAAAGAAGGAAATCAAAGAAATAAAATTGAAATGATGTTAGTTGTCACCTTATTATTGGATGATGTTTGTGATTTTTTAAGAAAACTAGTTTTGGAGTGTTCGGTTGGCGAAAAAAAATAAGGAAATGAATTATAAGAAACCTATTTCCTGTAGTTTCTTGTTTTCTTTTGTTCGGTTCATTCTTAAAAATAAGAAATGAAATGAGATGAGATGAGTTGTCATTGTATTATTGGGTGATGTGAAGAAAGATTAAGAAAAGTGTTTTTATAACTTTTTGGGATGAAAATGAAGAAATGAAATGTTAATGAGATGAGGTGAATTGTTATAATATTTTATTGGATGATGTGAGTGATTTGAAATGATGAGAAGAGATGAGTTGAGTGATGTTTGGATGAAAATAATATTTTATTAGATGTGATGGATGAGTTGTTAGATAAAAATAATATTTTATTAGATGTGATGGATGAGTGGTTAGATAAAAATCATATTTTATTAGATGATGTGGATGAGTTGTTGGATGAAAATAATATTTTATTGGATGTTGTGGGTGAGTTTTAGGGATGGAAATGGAGGAAATGGTGAGTTTTGAGATTTTCACCATTTCCATTTCCATTTCTTGGTTTTTAGAAAACAAACGAACAGGCCCTAATGGTAAATCAGACTTTGTGACTGAACCCATCCCTGAATCTTCCTGGAGAAGTGTTTGGCCCAGGTTTTTGGATGAAGGCGCAGGGAAATTGATCTTGGAACCTTTTGGCGGAAAAATGAGCGAAATCTCAGAATCTGAGACTCCATTTGCTTATAGGGCTGGGTATTTGTACAATGTCAATTATTATGTGGATTGGATTGACAGAAGCGAAGAAGAAACAAGAAAGCACATGGATTGGATTTGTAGGCTCTATAACGAGATGGGTCCTTATGTTTCTAAGAATCCTAGAGCTTCATATGTTAACTTCAGGGATCTTGATTTAGGAAGTAATATTGATGAGGGTAGTCTGAGTAGTAGATATTCAAATGCCAAGATTTGGGGGGAGAGGTATTTTAAGGGTAATTTTGAGAGGTTGGCAAAGGTAAAAGGAAGAGTTGATCCTAGTGATTTTTTCAGGAATGAGCAGAGCATTCCATCTCTTGTGGAAGAGGAAATTGTGGAGGATAACAAGGGTAAAGTTGAGGGTGAGAGCTCAAGCCATCAAAATTTATTGTCCAACATGTTTTGATAATGCCAAGGCAAAGATGCAATTTTGTTAAGAGAAATCTGTAATTCTCCAAGTAGACAGTACGCTGCATGAAATTCAATGGGATGCTAGTGACCAAACAAGTACGTTGTACTTTGTATGTTTTCTTTGTGTAGAAATGTTAGGGGCACACCCCTAACCACACCCTCTACCACACATTCTCTCCCTCTATAGTGCATTGGGCCCCACATCAATTTTTTTAAAAAAAATTGATGTGAGGCCTAATGCACTATAGAGGGAGAGAATGTGTGGTAGAGGGTATGGTTGTGGGTGTGCCCCTAACACTACTCTTCTTTGTGAGTATGTAGAAGTGCAGTAGTACAAAGGTGCTATTTGCATTCTAATTCTAACCAGGTAAAATACGCCCACTTCTTGTCGTTTTCCCCGAGTGAAACCGTGGCACGCTTCCCCATGTTTTATTAGTAAAAGACAAACGAAACGAAACGAAACGAAACGAAAATGTACATGCTGCAAACGGAAAAGTTCAAGCTAATCATCTGATGTCAATAGTAAGAAAGCTTGCCAAATTACCTTTTCCCCCCTATATTTCTTCCATAGGACAGGTGGTCGATTACTTTACCAAAATACAAATTAAGTGTAACTTCAACATTTCTTGTCCAAAAAATCTCGATTAACATTTGGGCTCAAACATTGTATTAGACCTGGTGAGGCAATACTATATATTTGCAATTATATTGTTTCTTTTTTAATATATGAATCCCTGTGCATGAAAATATTTTAATTGATAGTTTTTTCTTCTTCATCTTC